AACAGCATTGCACGCCATATCCACACACATCAGTCGAAGATTTAACCAGAATAAGCCGTGTCGTAGAACAGTGTTGGTAGCCCTTGATCTATCAAATTATAACTTGATGAGAACTACCCTTCGGTGAAGTTTGAATCGATGGATAATTAACCATATCTTGAGTAACTAACTATCGAAGCCACTCCTACGTGAAATTTCCGAACAAGGAGTTCAAGTCCCGTAGAATGAAACAGGGAGTTCCCAAAGGTGGGGTGATATCTCAGGAACTCATTAACCTCTACCTTTCCGGAATTCCTCATCCTCCCGACGGCATAGAGATCCTTACGTATGCAGATGATTGTACGATCATGGCATCGGGCCCCGGTGTGGATGACATATGTGTAAGGTTGAACAACTATCTCGCGGAGCTCTCCGCCTACTTCCACGAGAGGAATATGAAAATATCCGCCAATAAATCAACTGCCACACTCTTTACCACATTGCCTACGGAGATGAGAACAGAGCTGGATGTGCAGGTCGAAAGTAATAGAATATTCGACAGCATGTTCAAATCATCCGCTCAATCCATAGCTATCTGTCAGGTAGGAACGCCCAAATAGACAATGCAATACCTGCTTGGGTGTTATAGACAAAGCCATCCGAATCACCATCTTGTGGATAGTCAACCTCCGCCCAGGCACGTAGAGAAAGACTTTCATGATCTAGAGAGAGAGGTGGAGAGATAGAGCCTCTAGATCAACAGGCCTTTAAAGCGGGACTGAATAGTATTCACTCTAATGCGGTCTCAGAAGTTATTGAAGAATATGGAGTGAATACTGTACTAGGAGACCTTCCCTCCCACCCGTCGCAGCTGAAGAACGAGAGCTGCCCCAACAAACCCGAGTAGTTTTGGTTCAATTACGATCCGCCTAAATTCATACTGGGTCCGGATTAACAGCGACGTGCAAAACGTCTGCCCATTATGGGGCACAGGCCCACATGACACGCTGCACCTACTTCGCTGTCCAGCCAAGCCTACTCACCTAACTCCAGTCTCGTTATGGACACAACCCATACAGGTTGCATCCTTTTTGAGACTGGAGTTAGAGGCAGAACCAGGTTGCAGAACCAGGTTGAAGTCAGAAAATGGAAATAGAACGAACACAGCTGTATGAGCTTCTACAACAACAACATAAATGTCATTTAACACTTTTCCATTTTTCAAACATAAATCTGAAATAGTCGCGAGACAAAGTATAAAAGGTAATAAAAATCAATAGCGAAAAATCAATGGAAAATATTTCAGACGCATTAAATAAAGCGAATAGCTATGTGAGTCAACAAACGCATCGTAAATAGCTGTTGTTGTTGTTGTTGGGATTTGAAAATCAATTGAAACCACAACAACGAACGAACATCAACAGATTCATCAACATTTGGTGTAAACTGTCTGTTTGGCTCATCTGAGTTATGTTCATGTCTAAATGTGAAATTTGAAAGTAAGAGTTTTCTTTTCTTTGCGCTTTCGATGGGGGAAGGTATCCCAATTGTAGTGTCGACCAAATACCATTAAAATAAATCAACAAAAGACAAGCAAACAATAAAACAAGTGAAAAAGCTGTAAGTTCGGCCGAGCCGAACTTTGAATACCCTTCACCATTTGGAACAAATTTGGCAATTCTCAAAATCAATAAAATCCAAAAATTCTGTTAAAATCTTAAAAAACCGAATGTAGCTGTTATTTTAGGGTCTATACGACGACTTGAACCTGAATAGGTAACATTTGTCATAAGCCATTACAATATTCAAATGCGAAACTTAAAAACAATCGGTTATAATATCGATAAAATCAAAATACCGAATATCGGGAGGTACCGTTATATGGGGGATATACGAAGATGTAGACCTGCATAGACAATTTTTTGTCTAAGGCTGTAGTATCCACTACGAACTTCAAATACCAAATTTGAAACAATTCAAAATACAGAATATCGAGAGGTACCGTTACATGGGGGCTATACGAAGACGTGAGCCTGCACAAACAGTTTTCTGTCTTAGGCTGTAATATCCATTACGAACTTCAAATACCAAATTTGAAACAATTCTGGTGAAAAATGTCCCTAAAATCATTAAAATACCGAATATCGGGAGGTACCGTTATATGGGGGCTCTACGAAGACGTGGACCAGCACAGACAGTATTCTGTCTTAGGCTGTAGTATCCATTACGAACTTCAAATACCAAATTTGAAACAATTCCAGTGAAAAAGGTTACGAAGAGATCTAAAATTGTACTTAAGTTCTAAAATGATACCATTTGGCATTATTCGAACGGATAGAGCCAAAAACTGGAAATTTGATATCAGAATTAATGTTGGAAAGTAAGTTCGATTGCATACAGTTCGATATGGCAGGGTTTTTAGAAATTCGTACTAAAAGGGTACTAAAATGTACTAAAAGTTTAGTGCTGTGCATTGGACAAACGGAATGAGCTAGAATTCTTAAAATTTGAATGAGAGTCACTGAAGGAGTGCAGGATGAATGTATCAAAGAGCTTTTGGTAATTCAATCTTTAAGGTTACGAAAAGTTCTAAAATGGTACTAAACATCGAAAATGGTACCATTTGGTATTATGTGAACAGATGGAGCTAAAAACTTGAAATTCGGTATGAAAATCAATTTTGGAAAGTAATTTCGATATATGAACGTGGTCTTGGAAATCGGTACTAAAGAGGTGTTTTTTATGTTTTTGTAAAAGTTACTACTCTTGCGCACGAAAAGTAGTAAATAGAGAACTATTTTTTGGTACAATTTGGTAAACAGAGAGAGATATCTGAAAATTGGTATTATAGTCGACGGGTTCATGTGTAGCCTAGACATATGGAGGTGTTTTCGGAAATCCGTACCACTATTGTACGAAAAGTACTAAATGGTAGTATATTTGGTATTTGGTGAAGGGATAGAGATACAATTCTGAAATTTGATATTATAATTACTGATGGTTTCTTTGCTTGAGATTTGGCGGTGGTTTGAAACTGTGTCCTACATTTGTACGAAAAATACTGAATGGTACCAAATTTGATATTGGGATAAGGATGAAGTTCTGAAATTGTATATAGTTGTCACTTTTGGTGTCTGTGGTTAAAATATGACAGTGGTTTTTGAAAATATGTACTATAATTGTTCGAAAAGTACTAAGTAGTACTAAATTGGGTATTGGATCAAGGAATTGAGCTGGAATACCGAAATTTGATATAGATATCACTGTGGTGTAGGTGGTTAAAATATGGCGGTGGTTTTGGAAATGTGTTCTATAATTGTTAGAAAAGTACTAAGTGGTACTAATTTGGGTTTTGGCTGAAGGGTTAAAGCTTAAATTTTAAATACATTTCACTGTTGGTATCTGAGGTTGAGATTTGGATGTGGGTTTAGAAATGCAAACTATAGTTGTTCGGAAAATACTAAATTAAACTAGATCTTGAAATCCAGAACTTCAAGATGTTAAAATTTTTTACCACAATAACCAATTTTTATACGACCAAAATGTGCCTAAACGAAATAACGGTTTTAGACCCTAGGGCTCTTTGGACCAAATCCGTTTCAGGACGTTTGGAGTAGATCGAGTTCGGAGATGAACAATATCGGTCCATTCCTTCTGGTACCTCCCCCACAAAATGTCAATATTTTCAAAGAAAATAATTTACTGCACAGAAAGAGAAGCGATAATCCGATTTTGCTCAAACTTTGCATATCCTGATATTTGCGTCAGTGCTAGGTCAGGTGTGAAAATGGACAATATTGGTCCACTCCATCAAGTACCTCCCCCACAAACGGTCGAAATTTTGAATATCCATGAAGTTCATAAAAAGCGAAATCAACATCCGACTCCATTTCAGACAGCTGGTACATCTCAATATTTCCATCAACACAAAATCTGTTATAAAGATGGTAGAGATCGGACCATTTCTTTTGTTACCTGCTCCACATAGGGTTCAAGATTTTGAAAAACAAAACGCTCAAAGAAAGCGAAATAAGCATCCAACTCTCTTCAAATTTCACACACACAAACATTTTTGCTAACACAAGATCTGTTGTAAAGATGCTATACATCTGCAAACCCGTTCTGGTACCTCACCCACAAAGGGACAAATTTTTGCAATACTTTACTTTATATATATAATATTTATATCATATTTATTTAGGTCCAATACGAAATGGACAATATTGACCCATTCTTTCCAAACCCACTCCATAGAAGGTCAGGAGTTTGAAAATTCATAACAGAAGTCAAAAACCGACCGATACTTTTTTTACTTGATTTTTACTACAATAACCAATATTTCCTTTATGATATCGAAAAAAATTGCGGATTCTGGAACAGATTATTAAAACATTATTAAAAATGTTGTAATATTGTCCAATATATTTGTTCTTCTTTTAAGAATATTCATGTTATTTTCAATTTTCTGCCGATTTGACAAGTGAACTTTCATGATGTTGCAAAAAATTCCTGAATGCTTCGCAACTGAAAATGATAAGAAATTTTGTCTTGTCTAAAAAATCGTTTTCACCTATCTTTTACTTCAATCATTTATCTTCAGCGTTCAACATCGGCAGTGAGGTTTTCATTCCCAAACACGAAACTGGGCACGCATCGTTATTGCAATTTAATGTTTTTTCTTTTTGTTTTTTTTTTTTTTTATTTATATACATGCACTTGTTGCTCGTGTTGTTGCTGTTGCTTTTGTTGTTATTTTGAAATGGTTGTTATGGTCGATTGTCTGAAAACCACACATTTAGTGAAAATGAATTTAAGCCAACAACTCTGCAACTTTTACTAGGCAACAGCAATGGTTCATGGTTATCGTGCCAGTTTTCTAGCCTAACAACTCTTTTGACCGGGTAGGTGGCAAGAGGCGAAAGACGTTGAACAAAATTGCAAAAAAAAAACACAACAACAACGGCAGCATGTATTCCAGAATATACCACCATTTGATCTAGCATTACGACATATGACCTTACCTTTGGTAATGATGGTCACTGTTGTTGTTACCGTTGGTGGTGGTGCATTGGGATTGGGTTGTTGTAGCTGCTCGTTTATATCCATTTTCTTAAAATCCACTGTGTCCTCGGTTTTGGATGGTGTTTCCGATATTGGTGCTAAGGGTGCTCCCGTTGCTGCGGCAGGCACCGAAGTTGGCGGCATTGTTTCTGTTGTCGGACTAGTGACAGCAACTGTCATTGTTTCAGTTGCCACCGGGGTAATGATGGGTATTTCAACCGTCATCATATTTGTGTTGGAATTTTCACTACTAACATTTTTTTCAACTTCGTTGTTTGTCGACATTTTGTTAATTGTTTGAATTATGTTTTTTCATAAAATTTTAAAAATTACAATTTTTAAAAAACAATAAAATTCGAAAATTGTTTATGCACTCGCTATTGACCGTTCTTCATTCGTTGTTAATTGTTTTGGTTGTAATCCGTTTGTTTGTTTGTTTGTTTATATTATTCTCTTCGCGGCATTTGTTTTGTTGCCATTCGCTACCACAACTTGGCGTATTCACGTATAATTCACGACTGACAGTAATTGAAAATTTCTTGTTTTGAAAAAATTTACCCGCTCAAAATTGTTACTGCCCGCGGAACAGTGTTTGCTGCTACAAGTGTGAGTTTGCAGTCAGTCGTGGGGAACACATGCGAAACGGAACACCCAGTATGTACAGAGAGCACCATTTATTAACATGTAAACAAGTAAAAAAAGTATCGGTCGGTTTTGCCGACAGATGTATACCCCCAGCCAATGTTCGATTACTTAAAAATATTTTGACTTCTGTTATGATTATTCAAACTCTTGACCCTCTATGGAGTGGGTTTTGAAAAAATGGGCCAAAATTGTCCATTTTGTATCGGACCTAAATAAATTTGATATAAATATTGTGGCGTGCCAGATTTGGACTATATAGGTAACTTCTTTCATTTTACATGAGATATGTGATAATTTTTAATCAGATATAGTCGACCGATGTATTCCACGTTCATGCTTCATCTAATACAGATAAAAACAAGTAAGCAAAGGCTACAGTCGAGCGATAATAAACGATACAGTTTATATAGGCGAGATACTCGAAAGAATTCCACCAGATATTATGACAAATAATAAAAGAAACCCATCAGGTTTCGTTCTCTAATTTTCGAATAATCGCAACTTAAACTAATTTGCTCATTTCCAATTTATTGGTAGATGTTGCACTTAAATGGTCTTCCTAGATCTGGAACCAATATTTCCCAACGACCTACAATCTCTCAGAAGTGGCAAAAGATTAACATTCATTATTGGTTTTTGACTGAAACGCATCTATATGAGATACAGACATTTGACTATATTCTTCAACGAAATCAGCGTTAACGAAATAGTCAGAAGTGCGTCTTTCCTGTATTTGTGAATTCTCCAAAAAGTCTCTGGAATGGACATTTTCGTATTTTGTCTATAAATGTTGGCAAACTCCTTCACACATTGAATATTTTTGGATGGCCATCCAAAACTGCTTGGCTTTTGCAATGTCCGGTAACCCCCAATAAAATATGCGTAAGGATCGGGCGATAATTACGACCGGCTGACAATTTTGCAGTTTTTTGGTCCATTTCAACCCCTAAATATATGGCGATCATCTCCAAAAATGTAGGCATCTATTCTGACCCTCATCTAATCCCCATGCAAAATTTCGTAAGGATCGGGCCATAAATGAGATCTGTATATGATATCCTGATATCCTAACTACTTAGTTTTGTTAGCTGTAGAAATATTACCAAATGTTTAATTCAAAGTGAAAATATGCCAAAAATATGACAAAATTGAAAAAATATGAGAAAATTTTACAAAATCAATATTTTCATCTTTGGAGAGATATAATTTTTGCGATTTTTTTAGACGTTTTTTCTTTCCTGCCAAGAGACCATTCTAAATTAATGAGAACTGTCGAAATCAGTTCAGCCGTTCTCGACATATATGAGATCTTTCAAGCATATCTTCTTTGATAGACATATATATCGCACATATTTTGCTATATATCCGATTTTTTGGATGTTAACATCAACGTAAAGATCAGAAGTAACCTTGTCATGGCTTTGTGATTTCGCCGGGATTTAAAATATTCGCGTTTTAATGAAAAATTTTGAATTTTTTCAACACAAAAGATATGGTCTATTTTACCCGCTAAATATTATCCGATGACCACCAAAATTGGTAGGCTTCTTCCCCGCCCTAAACTCTAGCTACATGCGAAATTCCGTATTTGGTCCATTTCAACCCCTAAACATTTGGCGATCATCTCCAAAAGAAATAGGCTTCTATTCTGACCCTAACCCCAACTTCGTGCAAAATTTCGTTAGGATCGGGCCATAATTGCGACCTGTAGCGTGATTACAAATTAACATGGACAGACGGACGGACGAACATAGCTAGCTAGATCGACTCAGCTCGGCGAGCTAGGAAGATCCATATATACTTTCCTATATGGGAAACCAATATTTCGAGGTGTTCTGGCCCAATCAAACTTATAATACCCCCAACACATAGTGTTGTAGGGTATAAATATTAGTATGGCTAAAATTTTAAGAAAATCGAACATTTTTACCCAATTTATGGGAAATAATAAATTCCATACTCATCCTAGGTTCTGGTTGAGAGACATATATTTAGATATAGTAAGTTGTAAAGAATCGCTGAGTTGTTTTGCAATTTATGACAGATAAAACTATTGAAAATTGTGACCCTTTGTGGGTGAGGACCAGAGGGGGGATATATAGCATCTTCACACCAGATCTTGTGTTTGCAAAAATGTTTGTATGTGTGAAATTTGAAGAGAGTTGGATGCTTATTTCGCTTTCTTTGAGCGTTTTGTTTCTGAAAATCTTGAACACTATGTGGGGCAGGTAGCAAAAGAAATGGTCCGATCTCTACCATCTTTATAACAGATCTTGTGTTGATGGAAATATTGAGATATTGGAAGTCTGGACTGGAATCGGATGTTTATTTCGCTTTTTATGTGCTTCCTGGATATCCAAAATTTTGAGCTTTTGTGGGGGTGGTACCAAACGGAGAGGACCGATATATCCCATCTTCCCAGATCCAATTGTATCCGATATATACCAGATCTTGTGTTAGAAAAAATGTTTATATGTGTGAAATATAAAGAGAACCTGATGCTTATTTCAGATTTTATAATCGTTTTGGTTATTCAAAACATTGACCCTTTGTGGGGGAAGTACCAGAAGGAATGGACCGATATATTTCGTCTTAGAGCCAGACCTTGGGTTAATATAAATATTGGAATCTGTGAAAATTGAAGACAATCGGACTCTTTCATCATATTTTATAAAACTAGTAATTATTGAATATTTTGACCCTTTTTGGAGGAGGTACTTGATGGAGTGGACCGATATTGTCCATTTTTGCACCTGACCTAGAACTGACGTAAATATTAGGATTTGCAAAGTTGGAGCAAATCGGATTATAATTTCTCTTTCTGTGCAGAAAATATATTTTTTTTGGAAAATTTCGACTATTTGTGGGGGATGTACTGGAAGGAGATGACCGATATGTTCCATCTTAACACTAGACCTTGGGTTCATAAAATTAATGGGATGTGTGAAGAGAATTGGACTCCTACATCACATTTTATAAGAGTTGTAATTATTCAAAATTTTGACCCTTTGTGGGGGAGGTCCCTGATGGAGTGAACCGATATTTTCCATGTTGTCACCTGGCCTAGCACTGATGTAACTATTAGGATTCCCAAAGTTCGAGCAAAGTCGGATTATCGTTTCTCTTTCTGTGCAATTAATGAATTTCTTTGAAAATTTTGACACTTTGTGTGGGAGGTACCAGAAGGAGTGGACCGATATTGACCATTTCCGAACTCGATCGAAGTTTGACAAAAATATTACGATGCACCAACTTTGGGTCAAATCGGATACTCCCTTCGAGAGTTATCGTGCGCACCAGACGGACATCGCTAGATCGACTCCAAATGTCCTGAAACGGATTTGGTCCAAAGAGACCTAGGGTCTAAAACCGTCCAAAGAGACCTAGGGTCTAAAACCGTAATTTCGATGAGGCACGTTTTGGCCGTATCAAATGATATATACCCTCTGTAGCCATATGGCTGAGGGTATAAAAATATTTTACTGCACAGAAAGAGCAAGGATCATCCACTTGTGTTCAAACTTTGCAAATCCTAGTATTTGTATCAGTGCTAGGTCAAGTGCGAAAATTGCCAATATCTGTCAACTCCATCAAGCACCTCCCACACTAAACTTCCAAATTTTGAATCATTATAACTCTTATTAAATGTGAAAAAAAGTTCGATTGTCTTGCACACTTGAATATTTCTACCAACATAAGATCTGCTGTGAAGATCGTAGATAACGGTCCACACCCTCCCCCACAAAGGGTCACAATTTTGAATGACTATGAATCTCTTAAAACACGAAATGAGCATCCGATTACTTTCAAACCAAGCACAATAAAACGTTTTTAAGCTTTCTTAAAAATATTAAACATTTTATGACACCTACTGTATATTTAGTTTGAAGAGAGCGTGCATGACCGATATCTAAACATATATACACCTACATATCTGTGCAGTGTACACAAATGACTGTTTACATGGTCTATCTCATTTATCTTAGATATCAGTAACAACAATAACAACATTCGCTATGTAATTACTTCTAAAACATCTTTCAATGTTCATAACAGAACAGTGGAACAGTGCTTTGTAGGGCTGGGCAAATTCCTTTTCGGAAAACACTTTATACCCTCAGCCATATGGCAAGAGAGGGTATATATCATTTGATAGACCAAAACGTGCCTAATCGAAAAAAAGGTTTTAGGCCCTATATCACTTTGGACCAAATCAGTTTCAGAACATTTGGAGTCGATCTAGCGATGTCCATTCGTCTGTCTGTCTGGCTGGTGCACACTATAACTCTCGAAAGAGATTATCCGATTTAATCCAAACTTGGTTCATCGTAATATTATTTTCAAACTTAGATCGAGATCGGAGATGGGAAATATCGGTTCAATCCTTCGAGAACCTCCGCCACAAAAGGTCAAAATTTTCCAAAAAAAAAAAGAAAAATATTTTACTGCATAGAAAGAGAAAAGATAATCTGATTTGGCTCCAACTTTCCAAAAAAAGGAATAATATCGGTGCACTCCATTAAGTACCTCAACCACAAAGGGTCAACATTTTTAATAATTATAACCCTTATGAAATGTGATATAAGTCCGATTTTCTTCATTTTACACACATCACAAAATTTTTATTAACCCAAGGTCTGGTATGAAGATGGAATATATCGGTCCACTTCTTCTGGTACCTCCCCCACAAAGGCTCAAGATTTTTAATAACCATGAAGCACTAACATCAGACTTGGCACATCTCAATATTTTCATCAACACAAGGTCTTTGTCATTACGAACTTTAAATACGAAACGTGAAACAGTTCCAGTGAATAATGTCGCTAAAATCATGAAAATACCAAATATCGGGATGTACCGTCATATGGGGACTAAACGA